ACAGGGCTCATACAGACTTTCTGAGAGTATTCATTCTTGACTCAGGTGCCTGATGGTATAGAGGGAATTGCCCACCTTGGGAGTTCACACTGTGATCCTCCTTTCCAATTTTTGTCACAGCAGTCTTTTTGCTAGGGCAAGACTTCAGTTTTTAGTCCAACATGGCTAGAGTGGAACATAAGGAAGGGTAAGGATCAGAGTCTCCTTGGGCAGGCTATTATCTGCTGCTTGGATACCTATCCCTCTTCATCTGTAAGGAATCTTCCAGGTTCTGGCTGTCTGGGGCTGGCAGGGCTTAGCTGGAGCCTGTGGCTAGACTTCTGCTCCATCCCTGTCTAGTCCTGTTACCATGATTTGGTTTTGTTTTTGCTTTGGCCCCACTGGGCAAACTGGAGATACCCCTCCCTGATACTAGCCTCCCTTCTCTGATGTGGAACAAGACGATTATGGCTTCTCTTAGTGAGTTCCTTTGGGGGTAAGTTAGGAGTCTTCAATGGGGCTGAAATAGTGCCCAGCTATCTAAAATAAAATCCCATAGTCAGCCTCCTAGGGACCTCCCTGGGGGAGGGTAATGGGTGAGCCCATCTTTTTGAGTAAGACAGTGGCGCCCAGTCATGAAGCTCCCCTGGGTAACCCCAGCATGCTCCTTCCAGGTTCTTAGAACCCCATTCTCCCAATCAGGTCCTGCATCTAAAGAAAGTCTCTGTTACACATACCCTCTTGTCTGGTGGTTTTCTGACCTTAGCAGAAACTTCTAGCACATGTGTGTATGTGCGTGTGGGTGCTTGTTCCAGTTCACATTGGAAGCCAGAGTTGTGCTCGGAGTTGTGGCCACCCAGTGTGACACTCAGGAGAGCCTGTGCCCACGGAGCCCACTCTGAGACTCAGACCTTGGGAGAGCCCTGGCCAGTTGTGAGGTGTCAGCAGAGGGCCAGGGACTCAGACTTGGGGGCGCTTGACACCCTGGGGAACCAGACCCGAGACTGCAGGATGAGGGTTTTTTTGTTCACTCCCTTCTCCTGTTATGTGGCCAGAGTCTGCTTGATTCCCCCGGAGCCATCAGCCCTGTGTCTTTTCCCGGCTGTCCTCTTCCACAGTCTCACACTGACCCTGCAGCCTCCCTCATCCAAGGCTGGCCCCTAGGAGTCTCTGGTCTGGCCTCCCCAGGTGGCCCGAGGCTGTTGTCAGAATAAGCAGAGCCGGTATGGAGAGGAGCTATCCACAAAGTACAGGGTGGCCTGTTCTCTTGGCTCTTGCTAGCCATCAGCAGCCCATGGCCTCCCAAGTGGCAGAGAGAGTGTGGCTCCGATGGCCTGATTCCCTGCTCCAAGTCTCTTCTTGTAACCTGAATACAAGGACCAGTCTGTGGCTTAGGGAGACACTCAGGATATGAGTCTCCCCTGAGGAGAGTGTCCAGATGTCTGTGGTACCAAACTAGTTCTCGCCACATAAGACCATCACTAGTAAGCCTAACCACTGGCTAAGCCGCCCCAACTGAACAGTTTCTAAAGTCGTTGCTTTCACAGTCACCTCAAACATCCTTGAGAAACACACAGGGCCCCGGACAGCTGAGCAGCCCCACTCCAGACTGTAGGGGGCACCCCCGGGGAGCTTGGGGAGCAGAGCCAAGTCTACAGAAGCAAGGCCCCCAGAGATGGGACTTTTCTCAAGAGTCCATGGCCCAAGTTGATGTCTTATCTGGAAGGAAATCTGGCTGCCCTTGGCTGTATTAGGCCCTGTAGACAACAGCCTAATTTAATCCAGGGCTCTAACCAGGGTTCCTTGCTCCTGGATGACCACTTGTGAGGGCCTAAATTGCCTTTCTGTGGAAATAATGAAATGAGCAAGCAGCCACAAAGGCAAAGTAAGCCCCGGAGACTGGGACAGATGCTTTTCAGCCAAGACTTTGATGCAGCAAAGACAAAGCGGCTTGACTGAGCAAGTGAAAAGTGTAAGCCACTGTGGAAGAGGAATGGTAGTGAGGGTGTCACCCCCCAAGAATTCCACCCCCAGGGGAGTCCAGGGCAGGAAGATGTTGTTGGGATGCTACCCCCTGCCAGTTGAGACAGCACCAACCATCCAGGAAGCGGGACTTCTCTGCAGAGCCAGATGAAGTCCACAGGGCTTGGGGCCTCCTGGAAGCAGCTGCTAAAGCATCTGCTAATTAACAGGAGAGGGGAAAGTCAGGGAGACTTTGGGGGCTCAGGGAAAATTCTTGGGGCAACTGAAGTAGAGCCCAGAGAGAAAAGCCAAAGCCTGCATCAAGCAGAGCCTGTGCGATGGTGTAGAGAATAGGGAACACAGTTGATGATGGGAGGGACACAGCCAGAGAAGTTCATCTGCAGATTAAACAAAGAAATGGATTGGTTTCTATATGGCGACCAACACAGGCAGTTCCCACTGAAGAACAGTGAGACAGGAGAAACAGAGACAGGCTGCTTGACGGAGATGGCCCACAAGAGCTACTGCATGAGAACACGACTAAGGGGCTTCCGAGCTGGTTGGTTAAGAGGGTGCATGCCATACAGATGTGAGAGCTATCTGCTATCTAGAAAGTGCTCTGGTACGGATCAGGGTGAGCAAAGATAGGGCAGTATGACACAGAGAATGAAATCACACAGATACAGAAGAATTCGGTTGTCACATGCCTCCCCCAGGAGGGTACAGATCCCGGAGAAGGCGGACAAGCTGATTGCCACAGGGGCGCTGCTACCTGTTGTTGCTGGCTCAGGAGCTGGATCTTCCACTGGTATCTCGCTGGACCGAGGGATGCTGGTTAACTGCTTTTGAGGTCTTCTGAAGCCTCAAGTGCAGACACAGAAAAGCCCAGCAGAAGGAACAGGCCCCTCGTTCACACAGCTTGCCGTTCCTGGAACAACTCTAACATTTTCGAGATCTATTTGCAATTCTGTTTATTCAAACAGAATTTTAAATAAAGAGGAATACAATCCTTATTGTTATTCCTTTCAAAATGTTATTTTAGGGGCGCCTGGGTGGCTCAATCGGTTGAGCATGCAACTCTTGATTTCGGCTCAGGTCATGATCTCACAGTTTGTGGGATCGAGCCCTGTGTCAGGCTCTGTGCTGATAGCATGGAGCCTGCTTGGGATTCTCTCTCCCCCACTCTCACTGCCTCTCCCTCGGTCATGCTTGTTCTCTCTCTCAAAATAAATAAACATTGGGGCGCCTGGGTGGCGCAGTCGGATAAGTGTCCGACTTCAGCCAGGTCACGATCTCGCGGTCTGTGAGTTCGAGCCCCGCATCAGGCTCTGGGCTGATGGCTCGGAGCCTGGAGCCTGTTTCCATTTCTGTGTCTCCCTCTCTCTCTGCCCCTCCCCCGTTCATGCTCTGTCTCTCTCTGTCCCAAAAATAAATAAACGTTGAAAAAAAAATTTTTTTTTAAAAATAAAAAAATAAATAAACATTAAAAAAAATATTAAAGTATAGCCTATTTTGGTAAGTGACATTTTACATAGTTACATACACGTGTATACATATGTATATGCCTCTTTAGCAGTCTCCAGTCTTATAAAAGAGACAAGGAGCTTTGGCTTAGCAGGGATTTGATAGTTTAAATACATAAAATCCAGTTTGAGATGATAAAAGCTCTTATTATTATGCTTAATACAAGTCATAGAGTGAAGTAACGGAAATGCTAGTCCTCTCTTTGGATAATGCTTTGGTAAGAAAAGCAAGGAAGATGCCCTCAGTGACTACAGAACATAGCTATCTTTGGAGAACATATTTAACTGGAGGACTTTTTTATTGACACTATGGAACCGCAAAAAGAAATAATTTCTACAGATCTGCCAAAAGGATGCCACCACATTACATCAGGGTGCTGGTTTTCTACAACCATGATAGGGACTGAGGGCTTTGCCCTCCAGATGGCAGGATTGTAGGCCCAGGACAGAAAGCCACACATTGCTCTGAGGGGCCTGAATCCCGGGGCAGTAGGCGTGGGTTCCAATCCCAGCACTGGGGGTTTAGTGCGCTCCGCTCCCATCAGTGGCCATGCACAGGCTGTCTGTGCTGAAGCAATGGTAGGTGGTGGCACAGGGGCCTCTTACTCCTTTCAGGCCAGAGCAACAGAAAAAGCCTGACGGCATCCCTAGGCGACTCTCTCCTAAGACTTTGAAACTTGCCGGCTAAGTTCTGATCTTTAAGGCTTCTTAAACCAATGGATTGATTTGAATGCCTGTTGGCAACCTGAAACAAAGCAAAAGAAGACTTGAAACTAAAAGGTGACCCCTGGCCAGGCTTATGTTCAAATCATTCTGCAGAGAAGAAAGAGCCTGGGGAGGGGAGCGGAAGGGAGCTGGCTTGGTTATATCCTCTCAAACTTGTAATGAGCACCAGGCACGATGCCTGCCACAAAAGTGAGTCCCTGTCCTTAGGGTCTTGGAGTGTGTGGATAATCTAGACATTGTTTTTCTTTTTCTGTACAGCAGTAAATCATTATCCTGCGCTATGCTAAGAACCATAACAGAGATGAACGGGTTGTTCCAGCCGCATTGAAAGAGACTGTAAGTCACCTTCAGGGGAACAGGGAAGATTTCTGGCATGACATTAGAGTGGGGTCGTGAAAGAATTTTCCAGGTGGAAAGCTGAGGGGCATCGCTGGCAAAGGGAGTCGTGTGCAAAAGTAAATCATGTGCACATGTAAAAGCAGTGCCTTGCTAAGGGAGGCCCTGCAGGGCGTGGACGGGTGCCAGGGGGAGAAATGCCGGAAAGATAGCTGGGGCCACCTTGCCGTGGGTGGGTCCAGCTTTCTGACTTTCCACCTGGTCTGCCCTGTGCCAGAGGCTTGTTTTTAAGGAGCAAGAGAACATCCACAGTGAGGTTTTTGTTCTCCATAATGCTCGGCTTGGGGTATGCTGAGGAAACATGTGGTGTGTTGAATTGCACTAGATGAAGGGACTAGGGACTTTGTAGCACATTTGACAATTACTCCTGACTGTTCAGCCCCCTGGATCCAGGGGAATTGGAAGGTGGGAACCCCTCTGTCTTTCATTTGGATGTCTCAGTAGACTTGATACTTTCCATCTAATAGTTTTTATTTAAAAATAGGAACTTTTAGAAACAAGAGGTCAATAACCACAAAGCATACAGTCTAGTGTCAAAAAGTAGATAATTAGCCATCTTAGCTTTGTAAGAGTTTTTCCTCTTTTTAAAGGTTTTATAAAACTCCCCAGGTCTCTAAGGGTCAAGCGGATTCTAATCGTGCGACTCCACAGATTTAGCACGGGTCAAAGCCCTGCCCCACTACTGTCCAGCGCTCTTGTCTAAGAGTGCCTCAGCTGGCTCTGGGCTCTGCAGTGGGGAACATGCAGTTGCTCAGCGAAAGCCCACTAACGCATGATTATAGAAACTCTTTGGCTTCCCCTTGTCCCTCGAGTGTCCCTGGCCCTGGTATATTAAAAACAGGACTAGATAACATTAGCATTTGGGTTCTATAGGCTCTTGCTTTATTACCCACCACCGTCAGGACCCAGTGTTGCTATCTTTAGCTTGGAAGAGGTCAACGTGAAGGAACTAAGAATCAGGCTCCTGGGCTGTAAATCTGCCCGTGCCATCTTTCTCCTTCTTCACAGAGGGCATCTGACTCCTGTGAGATCTGGTCTGGCCACAGGATGTCTCCCCCCTCTCTGGGGTCCCACCTTGAGGGCAATGACTCTTGTCTCCCCTCTTCAGCTCAAGTCCTCCATTTGTACCCCTTGGAAGAGGCACTTTCACAAGAGCTTAAAAAAAAAAAGTGCCTGACATGACTTTCACCTCTCCATAAAGAGTGGTCATTTTAACTAAAGGCAACAAGAAACACAACACACATGAGAGAAAAAATGGTATAAAAGCGAGGGGGGAAAATGATAATGAGTTTCCGAAGCAAATTGCTGCCTCCGAGGCATCTGGAGCCCTGATAAAGGGGTTTGTATGCTTCTCTTAAGGGTGGATAGTTCTCACCTGTCTACTTCTCTTGGCCTTGGACATAGCCAATTATACAAAAGGCAGGTATATTCAAATTCTAAAGGAAGGTAGGGAACAGGGTTTCTCTTGAGTTTGGTTGTTCTACCTTAGTAACCCAACAACCTTTCGGTTTCAAGGGTAGCCATCACCAATTTGAAAATGTCATGCTGTAATACAGGAAAGACCAGGGCATATGATAGAAAACTCCAGAATCCTGTCATATAAGTGAAAAAAAAAAATCAGCATGGGCCTAGGAAATTCATCGTGTAATTCCTAGGTAGTGGTTCTCAATTTTGCCCCTCATGCCCTGGAGACATTTGGCAATGTCTGGAGACATTTTTGGCATTCAAAAGTGGGGGGATGCTATAGGCATCTAGTGGGGAGAGGGCAATGCAATGCACAGGACAGCCCCCCAGTGAGAATTATCCAGACCAAAATGTCAATAGCACCAAGGTTAAGAAACCCTGCCCTAGGGCTAAATCATAGACTACCCCTTAAGGACAGATTACTACCTCTTAAGGACAGAAATTAAGTTCTTTATTCCTTTCTAAGCACAGTTGAGGAAGCATGGTAAAGTTAAATGATTTAGTCCCAGTTGTTCCAATTTGGCTAAACCGCAGAGCCTACTCTCAAAGTCCTTGCACTTTCTCTCCTAGAGGATTTCCTTAACATCACTTTTCTCCTGGCTCAATGTTCCAACTCCATAGTTCCTGTTAACTTCCAGAGAAAGCTCTGAATAAATCAGGCCCTAATTACAAGTTTGCCTTAATGGAAGTTTACAGATAATTCAGCACAATTGCTAAAGGTTCACACTGACACACGCTCACTCCATAAACCTGAAATGGCATGTTATGGTCTGAGGCCCCTCCAAGTTGGTGTGAGAGCCCTTCATAAATGCAGGTGCCCCCGGGGGGGTGAGGTTTGGGGCTTCTCTCCTTTGTGGCCGCCCTCCCCATTGTTCCTTGGGAAACAGCCCCAGTAGCTGCCTGTGTCTTCGAGAAGTGGGAGGGGACAATTCTAGCCAAGTTTCTATAATCAGCCTCCAAATGAACAGGTTTGCCTTGGACTGCCAGGGTTTCTCACTCCAAGGGGAGAGCTGGGCACAGCCTGGGCTCTTGGAAGCAACAGTTCTGGGTGAGCCGTGCAGGAACGGCAGTGGCAAAGATGCATTTGGGCTTTGATCTTGATGCCCTGAGCTTGGAGTTTGTCTCCAGGCTTCTGCTAAGAGGCCCCTCAAGCTCCCCAGCCAGACTGGGAGAGTCTACTGAAGCGCTCTGCTACAAGCCTGACTGCACTGCCCACTCTGTGAGGGCCAACTTAGACCTGAGCTGGTCTAAGAAGATGGCTAATTATTCCCAGTGCCATAGTCCATTGTTACAAGTGGAGGTTACTTTGGGATGTCAGACTCAAGTTCCTGTGTGGTTTCTTCTGATCCTTTGTAACTGCCCTCAAACACTGTCCCTGCAACGTAAAGTCAGGATGGGCAGTTGTTAGTATCCACTTCGAATCCTATAGCATGTTAACGTTGAAAGGACATTAGCTCACCTTGTCCAACCTATCATTTTATGGCTAAGGAAACCAAGGCCAAAGAAAGGACATGATTTGCTTACATCATACAGCAGGGAGGAAACAAATTGAGGCCTTGAACCTAGGTCTTCTGACTGCAGGGGGAGTCTTTATGACCGTATCCCCTGTGACTTATATAGACCAATCCAGAGAAGAGATCTGATCATTATCTTGAATCACAAATAAGATCTACCTTATCTATGTGGGCCAAGTCCCTTATCTCCAGGTAGTTTTTTTGTTTTGTATTTTATTGAAGAGTTGAAGTATTTTCCATTTACCCTTGACTACTACTCCATTTAGAGGAATGGGAAAAGAGAAATTTATATCCAAACTAGATCACAAAGGGATGATCTGTACATTTGAGGCGTTTTCCTAGAAAAGAAGTTGACAGTCATCATCATATATGTTCTCTGTGTTTAAGAAGGACTATTGTTCACAGATGACGTTTTCAGACCAGGAAACTGAGAAAAAGAGAGAAACTACCTTAACCAGTGGTATGTGGCAAGGAGCGCACAAAAGATAAATTCTTGGGCAGGTCTGATTAAGTGATTGACAGGACATAATTCTGATCATATATATGGGTCAGTGCAAAAGGGCATGTTTCTAAAGCTTTCTGGCAAGGGCCCTGAAATACTATCTTCCTATGTTTAAGCTTAGTCAGTGGTAGTTATAATCTCACACAATAACAAAGGAACAAGAAGGTGAGACAAGGAGAACTGAGTCTCGGACAAGTGGGTTAATGGGGTCATCTTTAGATATGAACACCTGGCCCAGTTCCATCACAAGTGACATAAGGAGAAAAAGTGGAACTTGCACAGACCTACCTGTTTCTGACCATGAGATTCCCGTGTTGGGAGTGGCCCAAGAGTCTACAGCGAGAAAGTGAACTTGGAGGTTTGAAGAAGGTTGTGGACCCCCAGGGTGCTCTCTTACCTGTTTCCCTGAACCCCCAGCTTCCAACAGTATTGACAGGGGTATTGAACAAGTAAAGATGTTAAATGTCCTTCTGGGGAGTTATGGTTACAGATTTAAGAGGAAGAACGGAGCTTTCATAGCATTAGGAATAAACCAAACTATTCAGCTTCATTCAGTATAGCTCCTGTGTGTGTGTGCTTAGGCAAGCTTAAGGAGATGAGACAAAAAGGCAGTGAATGCAGACGCTTTCTTGCCTGATGGGTCCGGCTACATCAGACCATGAGCTACTTATGCCCACAAATGTGGATTATGCCCACTCTCTGAAAGCTTAACGAAGGAGCATCCCTGGACGTTGGTGATGGTGATGGTGCTATGAATCACCTGGTGAGGCTGAAGATGGGCCTTGATGCCAAGAAAGCCTACGGCAAGAAGTGAGGAGTTTGTCTTGTGAAAACAGTCCTACCATGTGTCTTAGGAGACGTAGTTCTCTGACAGAGAGGACCCCAGAACATCCTCTCTTCCCCATCTGTGAGAGACTCCCAGACTTAATGGGGGCTCCGGTCCAGGCACCTAGAAGCCCTGGCTGGTGCTTCCCTGCAAAGGCTCAGGGAAGTCAAGAGCAGTGGAGGGAGACCTCAGTAAACCCACACACAATAGCTTCTTGCATACTTGGTTCCCTTGGCAGCCAGAGTGCTCTGAACCCACCCCCTAAGGGTATCAGTGGCAAAGCCCGAGGGTAGGGCACCCGACTGCAGATAAAATGGGTGTCCTGGCACCATACGCCCCCACACACCGCGTCTTCTCACCTTGTCGGAAAGAGATATACACCAGTCTCTCATCAAAGTTCTGGACCCGCCGGAAATTGTTGACCATCTCTCTGGGGGATGGGTCATCCACATGTGTGCAGTACAGAGCAGTCTCCAAAGCTAGCAGCTGCAAGGCAGGAACACACCCCATGGGCAAAGTGATGCTCCCTTGCCTGACCTCAGTGGGGAGGAGAACTCTGGGGCTTGGCAGGAGGCACGTCAGAAAGCAGTGGGAAAGCCAGATAACTGTTTCCCCTCCCTCGCAGGCGTCTGGTTGCCTGGACACCGGGTGAGCTGGTCTGTCACCACCTCCCAAGGCTTGGGGGGAGGTTACAGCTCTTAGCTGCTGGGTGGTGGAGGGGCTCCTCAGCCTCTCACAGGCCTGATTTGCAACCCGACTCTAAATCAGAGGGGCTTGGGGCTTATTCTGGTGGTCCCATCACAAGGAACAAAAAGAGGGAGGCAAGAGTGTCACAGTTCCTCTGACCACTGGTTCCATGGAATTTTCGTACACCCACATAGATTATATAATCTGTTTCCAAGGCAGCTTCTAGGTTACTGCTTCCCTGAACATTTCATCTCTTGATTCATCACATCTCTATTCCTGTCCGCCCACCTGCTGCCATTTATCTACATTACTCAGATCAGTAGCTCATAGTAAAAAGAACGACCAACAGTGAGGGCCTTACTGGTCAGGAAGAGGGGTTGGGGGTGGGACGGGCCATGAGCCAGTGTGCAGCACTGCCCCTGGCCCTGTCTCCTGGACAGTCAGTTTTCTTCTTGATGAATTTCAACTGTGGAGTAGGGGATGGGCAGCGACTAGCAACCCCAATCTGACTTTGGGGCTTTGTCTCCAACCAGCAGGTGATCCCACAAGCTCCCTCAACTGTCTATCCCTCACTTTCATCATCTGTAAGATGAGAAGGTTGGAGATGATTGCTGAGGCTTCTGTCCCCCAGTTTTGCACTAGACTTTGAGCTTCTTGAGAACAGAGACCATTGCCTACTCACTGCCGCAGTCCCAGCGCTCTGGTTGGTTAGACCATCGAAACTGGGTCTGTCCTTATTCTGCCCTGTAAAGGAACCATGCTCGCTCCACCGTGGAGGCAAATACTATGCAGCCACTGAGGGGTATATTAGGAAATGCAGCCTAACGACTTGCTTGTAAGGAATTGTGGAGATGGGTTCATTTTTCAAGCTTGACTTGATAACTCTGTTTTTGAAGCTCGGCCTGTAATTTTTGCAGTGCGTCCAGGAACCTGCACTATTTGGAGAGGTTTTGCACAGCTGTCAGTGAAACTCTAAGTGAGGAAATCAAGTTGTTATGATATTGGGTGATGGTAGAGACAGAGGTGCCACATGGCCTCTGACTCAGAAGAGCACGACAGTTACCTGCTCCTGGGAAATTTGCACAGGGTTCCGGAAGACCGTCCAGAGCACTGTGGGGTGGCAAGGAGGTGTGGTCAGGGAGCCTTTGTAGCGGTAGTATTCGTCGGGCCTCTCAGGAAGCAGCTCTTCAATGCTGAAACCCGGAATGAGCACTTCTTGGCCTGGAGAGACATATTGGGGAGATGGTGTCCGCCTTTCTCCCCACGGCAGAGGTGCTGCTGGGCATGCGACTGAGCCTAGAAATGTGAACAGCACCTGCCCCCTGCATTCATTTTTCTTCAGGTCACATGGGGGTGACTGTATTCTCCTCTCTAGGGGTAGATAAGCATCCAAGAACCCCTTACCTTTGTATTTGACATCTTGAAGGTGCCTGAAGATCTTGTCATAAGATGGATTGAAGGAACCCATCTGCAACATAGATGGGGCAGGTTGAACTAGGACAGAATTATATAGGCTGAGCCTGGTGTAACAGTTGCTAATGGAAGGACTCGACTAGGGGTATATAGTCACCACTGCCAAGGTCCTCCCTGAAGGATTCACTTTACTAGGACAATTATGAAGGATCGCTAGCCTGTTACAGAATGAGGGTGATGGTCCTGTCCTCTTGCATCTCAGGACGCGAGGCACTGAGCCCTCAGGGCACTGGGGCTTGAGCGTAGCGAGGCAAAGAATATAGCCTGTGCTCCTGGTGATCAGGCTTTGAGTCTGAAAGCCACAACTAGCGTGTTTTCTAACCAGAACTCAAGGGAGATGTAGTACGTACAAGCCAAGTCAGGCAAGTAAGCATGTCGAAAAACGAGGTACTTGTCTTATTAGGGAAATACATGCAAGCGAATCAGGAAACATTCCCATTTGGGGGATTAAGGAAAGAGCTCACTCCAGGGTCTATAGAAAGACTGCAACTTGGATGTTAGGAGTTGTGTAAGGGATTCGACACCTGATGAGGCAGCGCTGAATGATCCCCACCCCCCAACCCCATACACACAGGGCCTGCCTCGCTGGACAATTCCAAGCTTTATACATTAGGGCTAGCAACTAGGGCTCATTTTCTCCAGTCTTCCAAAGGACATGCCCATTTCTGCTGCCCAGCTACACAAAGTGCTGCCTCCCGGCCAAAAGACAAGGTCCCCTATGGGGGCATTCCTCTGGTTCTAGAGGCAAGACACAGCCAAAATGAGAGTGAGCCACACACATCCAACGGACAGGCAATTCAGGGACCAAATGCCGAGTGTGATACCATCCTGGCTTCAAATTTCATGTAAAACCCCTTTCAACATCTCTTACCTCTATGAGAACAGCTAGGACGGCGAGGCCCTCTGACTTGTTACTGGCGGTGCTGGCGTTGGCATACAGGTCCGAGTTATAATGGACAATATGCAGCTGCAGTGGAAGGAAAGCTGCTCACCACGGGTGGGCGACTCGTGGGAACCTTTTGCTTTTGCAGGGGGAGGACACATGTTTATCCCTCCGGTGGAAAAAGAAATCACAGCCCGGCTTTTATACGGGTTTAATCAGCCATATTTCAAGAGGCCAAAAAAACAAGGACGTTACTCTCTGAATGTAGATTCTTAGCATTCACAAAAAAATTCTAAGCTCATTTTATCAAAGCAGGAATTACTTGTGATTATTAAAGTGAGGGAAAGAGAACGTTCTGAGAAATCTTGGGTTTCAAAAGTCTAGGTAACTGGGACGCCCAGGTGGCTCAGTCGGTTAAGCGTTCGACTTGATTTCGGCTAAGGTCTCATGGTTGTGAGATTGAGCCTCAAGTCCAGCTCTGTACTGAGTGAGGAGCCTGCTTGAGATTCTTTCTCCCTCTCCCTCTGCGCTCCCCCCCCCACAACATTGCATGCACACATGCTCTTTCTCTCTCTCTCTCTCAAAAAAAATAAATAAATGTCTAGGTAAGCATTAAGGTATTGTTATGATAAATTCTGACAATAGGTTGGACCTAGTTTTTAATCCAAAATGTGGTGTCTGTCACTTGTCCTCCAAAAAACTATATTAGTAGATACATCTATATATGTGACATGCATTTTTGTTGAGTCTTTGCCTCTTAAGACTGTGACACGCTGAGATTTTTTCTTTGTTCATCTCTTTCTCCGTCTTACATGGTCATAAATGGAATTCAAGCAGATTTTACTGAATACGGCTTAATGTTCCCCACCTTTCAAGTGGCCCTTTCTAATTTTCACAAGCGACATGACATCATTTCTTTTTTTAAGTAGTCCTCGCTATGAAGGATGTAGCCTGCCGCCTTGCCCCCCCACCACATTAGCTTGGCACAGCCTTGAGAAATGGGGGATTCTGTGTGGCTGACACCCTGCAGGTCCTAGATCCGTATTTCTTTTTACAGCTGCCCTTTGAGCATGCGGTCTGCCTCAGCACTTTTCTTACTGTGTTCAGATTAAACGGAGAGGAACAGAATTCCCTGCTGAAGAGATGAAGAGACTCTTCTCTATAGGACCCAGTCCAGAAGAACTGTGCACTTTCAAGGGCCCTCCACAGGGAATCTGCCACTTTCGGGTCACCTTGAAGTATTTTCTCTATTAGAGACATTTATGGCGCATCTTCACCAGGCCCTTGGTGATGATGTGGCTTCATAGCAGAAAATATAATAATGAGAAATCCATTTAAATGCCCACACTCTCCCAGCCTACACCCTAACTCCTTCTTTATTCCCCGTGTGTAGGTAGATGTCTCCACATTGCAATTAGCCGGAAAGAAATTGCAGTCCTGGGGTTTCAGAGATGGGCCTGGTTTGAAATGCATGCCCCTCCAAGAGTGCCGTCCTATTGGGCCAGAAATATAGGCCCTCCACACGTGTAACTCTACCTGTAATTAGCCTGAGACATTAAGCACTTCAGCAGTTAAGAACAGAGGAGAGTGGTCATGCCATTATTTACCTTGGGCTCCACTGGCTGATCAGTAGCGTTTATCTCCTTGTATTTATTGCCCTGTAAACAGTCAGAGCCACACCTCCAAGTTCTGTCCTCTGGGAGCTCTTAAGTGGAGCATCTCAAGCACCCCCACCGTACCCCCTGCACACCTATAGTGCAGGAACAATGCTCCACTCCTTCCGTTTCCGCTGGGCATTTTGGGGTAGTGCCTCAGAACGACACAACACAATGTTGTGCCGACATCCCAGACTATCTTCTTTGACTCTCTCATTGCCGTGATGTCCCGTGAATTATAATGCCAGTCTTCCCTTGGCTTGTGGCCCTGGGCCCCAAGGTTCCAAGCACAAGCCATGCCCAGGAAAAGGAAAGCTGGAGTGGGAAAGGCCTGTGCAAACAGCACGGCTTGTGAAGAAAGATGAAGAAGTTGGGGGAAGCAATTAGCCCAGTAGGATTCAGCAGCGAGATACGATACGTCAGCGAGACAAGCCGGTGAGATCCCGATCTGTGCAGGCAGAAGAGCGATGCCGACAAAAGGGGCATGTATGCCCCACTGTGCCACCCCGGGAGCATTGCCTTCTGAGCGGTGCCACTCAGTAAAGACAGAGACAAACTCCGTACGTTCAGGAGGAAGGGGACCAGGACACCGCGGAAGAACCGCGGGGGGGGATGGGAGCGGCTCTGCCTTCCCTGAGTGCGTGTGTGGAGCCCGAAGGGAGCCCTTGCTTGCGCTCTGATCTTCGCTGCACACCAGCCAGGTGGAAGGGTGCCAGACCACCCACCGCCAGGCAGCCTCTGCCGGCCTGCCCGCTCCACTCACCTCAGCAGCAAAGTGCTTCCCACCGACAGTGTGCTCGGAGCCGTGAGGGTCATTCTGGTTCCCCCAGTGCAGGTGCAGCTGGGCGGCACTGTAGCGGGACCGGAGGCCCTGGATGTGCATGTCCGAGGGCAGGTTCAGCCTCACTGTGGGGAGTGGAGCCTTCAGAGCCCTGGCCAGCTGAGCACTGCCTGAGAGCAGTTAGCGATGCGACACCGGCCCGGGGCCCAGACAGGAGGCAGGTGGATGCAGTGAGTGGAGACACAGCCTGGGGCTCAGAAACCTGGGCTCTTCTCCTGAAGATGTCCCCATTTCCCTAAAGAAATTCTAGTCGCACCAGCCCCTTCTAAGCTCCCCTGGGAAAAGGATGGCAAGAGCACTAATACTAGATGGGTGGGTGTGTTTTTACATATCCACGTATTACACACCCAGCTATCAAGATAGAACCTTTAATGAAGTATCTTCCAAGCCGTAGAATAATATAACAGCAACAATAATAATTGCTATTTATGAAGCATCTTCTGTATTCCAGATCCCCAACATACATAATCTCTAGTCTTTCCGCAGTACCCATCAATATGCCCATTTTCCACATGAAAGCTCAAGGAGGTTAATATTCTTACCCAGAGTCTCATGACTCATAAGTAGTCAAGCCAGGATTCAAATCCAGGTTTGTCTGACTCCAAAGCCTGGGCGACCCCACAGTGAGTTGCGTGCCTCCTGGAGTGTTTGCGCCAGGGAGCCCAAGGGCTCAAGCCTGTCCCCCCCCCCCCCCCCCCCCCCCCCCCGCCCCTTCCCAAGAAATGTGCTTCTTATGCGAGGCGCTGCCCTGGAAGAACTGCCTGCAGCATCCCCCCCAGTGAGTGGTCCAGGCATCTCTCATCCCTCCCCCCTCCCCCCTCCCACCGCCCCGTCTCCTGGGGGCTGTACTTAAGTGCAGCCCCCTCCCTGCCAGGGCCAAGAGAGCAGGCCAAGGAGCTGAGGGGAGCTCAGACATCCCCTTGCAGTCCTCAGAGGTCTCTCTCACCTGAATGGCCATCGTTGGTCAGGAGAAACTGCTCATTGGCAGAAACATTGTAGCCTTGGAACCCAAGGGGCACAAGGCTGGCGTCGTACTGGAGGATGTCACTGTGCAGGTCTATTGGGGACTGCAGCACGCCCCCACATGATGGGTACTTCTTGGACCAGCTCTTCTCCCCATCTGGACCTGAAAGGGGAGATTCAGGCCCTAAAGTGAGTCCATTTCCCACAAAACTGTTTTCCTCACTTTCTAATTCTGTGTCCAATACAATCACTCCTTTTCTCCTCTTAATCCACAGAGGTATATTCTTCAAGGCCCAGAAATCTCAGCCTCCTGCCATTTGTCCTTGAAGGGAGATGGGGATAGAAGGACTAGAGCAGCCCCATGCCACGGAATAGGGCCCACCAGCTCCGTTTTCATTGCTCATATTTTGGCACAGTACACATCCTTTCCATGTGAGGACATGTTGATATTCAGCAATTTAGCCTCTGTTTATGGAGCACCTATTACGAGCAGGAATTACTCAGGGTCTTGGGGCCACCAGGTTGAACACAACCATAGGGCCCCTGCTTGCCCAAGCTTGCATCCTCTGGGATGCTCCAGGCTGGAAAAAGTGGTGTCTTACTGACCACAGCTCCAGGGAAGTCTTCAGGGCTCGTGGATTTATAGATACGTTCTTTCTGATGGGAAACCTTTGAGGACATTGACTCTTGATAGCCACATCCAGAGCAAGTGTAAAACCCCATCTGATAGGGATGCTTGAAAAATTCCAAGTAATTAGGGGATCACAGAGCTAAGTGCACAGTGTACCCTGAGAGAGTGTGACAACACTACAAACTAATGACAAACGATCAGTGAGGAGGAAGAGACTTAAAAATAAATCCTCCAGGGCTCAGGCTTCTTGCTAACTACCAGGTGATTGTCCTTCCTCTGGAAATGGAAATAAACAATCCAATCCCATGTTCAGATAAACTTTCTTACTCCCACAGGGAAAAATCTTTAAAGAATGTAAAGCTGTGTTTAAAAGATTATCTCCCGTGGTAATTAAATGGATTTTCAGGCTGAGGTTTCTCCAGAAAAGCGAATAATTGGCATGTCATGGCTCGTTAGGGTAAAACCATTGTGCTCTGTGGGCTCTGTCTGAGTTGGGGACCATGCTTTGCCATCTGGGGTCCATTCATCAGTATTTTGGCACCAGGAATGATGTTAACTGGAGCAGAGGGGAACGGAACTCCGCTTCCAGGAAGCCTTCCATAGACAGTGGCACCATTTCCCAAGAGTGTACGTGTGTATTCTGGTTCCCTACCCCTTGTTCTCTAACTAGGGGACTTCATCTGAGAGTAAGGAGAGTCTAAAGAAAAACTTGGGTGCCCGTGTTCATTTAAAATACGATGAGGAATTGATCCGAGGTCTGGACACGCAGTGGAACCCTGCTAATTTTTCCGACCGTTAACCTTTGGATATACCTTTTGGGAAATGTTAGGGCTTGAAGGGATTTCACCATCTCCTGTCCAACCTTCCAACAGACACCAGTTTCCTCACTTGCACAAGCCAGTCAGAGTCTTCACTGAGATATATTTTAATTTCCCAGACCTCAGAGCCCTGGACTCAGAAGCAACTCACACCAAGATGGCAGAGGGAGAGGGAGGCCGGAGGACATCAAAGCTGTCGCTCCATGGGGCAAACCGGAGTAAAAGTAAGACCGTTGCTCAGCTGAGGGCAAATCCAAATTCCTTAGGGACAGTCGGAAGCATAGATGAAGCAATCATGGGGACCCTTCGAAACCCTTGGGTCAGGAAGAGGTACAGCTACCGGGTGGCAAGCCTTCTGGAGTGAGGCCGCCAGCCTTTTCTCTGATCACAACATCGTCTGGACCCACAGCCAGCGTGGCAGAAGCTGCCAGCCAGGCACGAACGGAAAAACTCAGTGAGTAAAGAGGCGTAGCGATGAGACGATTTCTCCTTGCCCACATGACTAAAGGGAACTGGGTCAGAAGGACTTTCTCTTCCCAGAGCAGAGGTTCCAAAAGGTGTCATGAAGAGAGCCTTCTAGTGATAACTAAACCAAGAGCTCCTGGGGGACAGGGACATCTCTTGTTTGTCTCTGTGAACTCATGCTGTGATTAGGGTCCCATGCATAACAGGCATTTAGTAAACAGCTTCCCAAAGAATAAAAGACCCCAAAGAACAGAGAGCTTGGGAAAAGGTTGTCAGGAGGAACTGTTCCTTTTCATTGCACCCTAAATACTCTTTGTTGGAAGTCACACTGAATTAGGTATTTGGGGGCAGAAAGACTAGGGATATAAAAGGCAACAGAGTCTGTGTTGGCAAAACCTCCCGAGGAAAGAAAAGCAACTGCACAGGACCAGAAGAGTCCAGAAAACAAGATTTCAGCGCCAGCTGTCCCAGCACCGCAGTGAGTGACCTTGAGCAAGTCACATGCGCTGCCTGAGTCTCCTTTACCCTCATACAAATGAGAGGATTGAACGCTGCGTTCTGGAAGTTCCATTCTGGCTCTCAGCTCCGAGACTGATTGAGATTACTAGGACTAAGCACCTCCACCCTCGGTGTCAGGCAGGTTTGAACGGGTTGGAGACGGTTGCTCATGCCAAGGCAGCTCCTGGGCATGTGACAAGGTGCCCAGTGGGGAGCGGGGGTGAGGCTGAGCGCAGGGCGCTGCTGCTCCGAGGTCTGGCTGGAAAGCCATCTGCATCAGGAACTTGCCACAGGTGTTGGCTGCCGTCCAAAAGGGGCCTCGTCTTTGAGCCCCACTCACAGGCGCTTTTAGGGGCAACAGGGTCTAGTAGAAAAGGCTACTCTTCCTGCCTTGTTATTATTTTTAGTAGTTGTGGTTGTTACATCTCTAAACTCTATAGGATCCGAAAGGCAAGAATTGCCCCATTTTACAGATGAAGAATTGACATTGAATGATTTGCCCTAAGTTAGACTTGGGCTCAGTAACAGAATTACCTTGCTGGGTGCCAGGACCTCCATGCCCTTCCGTTTTAGTATGTACCCAGGAGATTTGGTGCATGCCTGTTTCCCCCCTCTCCTGTGCTCGCCATGCAGGTAAGCATCATGTCATGTTCACCTGGCACGGAGCAGGCCCTTACTTGTTTACTGAGCTGGATTCTGATGCTAATTTTGTGCTTGTTCCTCTCCAGGGAAGCATGCACCTATGAATGCCCCTGGCTTCCCTTTTACTCCGTATAATTTTTTTTTTTCCCATTAAAAAGAAAAGAAGAAACTTCTGTCCTTTGCTCAGGTTCAAAATTTACCCTCCTAGCTTCCTCGTTTACCTGCCTGAGGGTTCGTTCTGTTTGGGGGCCACTCACTGAGAACAAAATCTGGTTGCTGCCCTGGAGCCTGGGAGATGGTCTGCCAAGTATGGGGCTTCACCACAGTTCATAGGACCCTCCACCAGCACGTGGCAGCCAGTGTCCCCTTCTTGCACATCTGGGGACACTGTCCGAGCGGCCTCCCATCGTTGTGGCTTGTGAGTGAGACGGGTGTGAGGTGCTATGTGGGTGGACACCAGGGCAGCCGGTATCAGGGCTGGGGGTGTTGTCAGTAGACCTCTCTCTGCCCCCCACCCGTCGCCTCCGCCGGGGCAGTTTGTGACTTGTTGCAGAGGCAATGCTGGCTTTTTACAGGCAGCTCCAGCCCGGGCTGTGGTTTTTCAACTTGGCCACGATTTTCACACTCATGCCAAGTGCTCTGGTGCCAGAAAACCGCCCTTGGGATGGACTCTTCCAAAAGAAGCATTTATTTCCAGCTATCAGAAAAATGCCACTTTTCTCATCTGAGTTTTGACTTTGCCTTTTCAGTTAGTTGGATTCCTCGCATGATCCTGATAAAGGAGATCGTGTGTATCTCCCAGTTTGTTTTTCCAAATAAAGTCCCGGCATTATTTCTTTTCCAGCACATGTTTTTCTGCTTTAGGCAAAACGGAAGTGGACCTCATTTTTGTTTTGAAATGTGACAAGAGATTAACATAGCACAGCTCAGAATGCCTCTCGTGATCTCTGAGTGGGAATTATGAAGCCCGGGGTCCAAGATTTGATGCCCAAGGACCAGAATTTTTTTCCATGGAGAATTTCAAATACATACAACGCGGGAGAGGGGAGCACAGTGAAACTCCGTGTCCCCCAGCTTCGACAACTAACAATTTGCAGAAACAAATCGCACCCACTCCCCCCATCACTGGATAATTTTGAAACAAATCCAAATGTATTTTTTCTGCACATATTTCAGTATGTGTCTCTAAAACACAATGACTCAAAACCACAAGACCGTTACCACACTTCCAGAGTGAACGACTCCTTAATGTTATCAAATCTAGTCAGAACTCAGTTTTCCAGTTATCTCCTGACTGTTGAATGGTTTATTTGTAAGCTTCGGGGTTGAAGTACGGTCCACAAACTGCAGTTAATCAACCTGTGATGGCCTGGATCTCAATTCGATGGTGTGATGCCTCATCAGAGAACAACTGGCCCCACTCTTCCAAGGCTCCAGATCTCAGAGCCAAGCTGGCTGTGTCCATCTTGTGCCCTCACTTGGTCATGGAATCAAACAGAAACTGTTACCACCACCATCTCCACCACCCTGGGGTGAGCCCTCATCATGTCCACCGTCAAGGCAGACGGTGGCAGAGTTCCGTGCCTCAGCCTCTCCTGTTAGCTGCCAGGCTCCTTTCTCTCGTAACCGAGTTTAACCAGACTAACCAGACGTTGCCCTGCCTCTGTGGCGCCGCCCCTCCACCCCACCCCCCTTCTCCAGAGCACACCCACTCCACCCAACAGATCAGAGCAGAGCCATAGCCATCTTTCAAGGCCTGTCGAGGCCTTCGGTGGCCCTCATACCCTCCCCCGCCAGCCCCTATGGTCAGGCTGGCTTCCCCATCCTCAGAACAAGCTATGAACTAACTCAACCTTCCCATATGTTCTTATGCTAAAAAATGTGCTTAAAATGCCACCTTCTTTCCTCTTTGCCTTTCTGAATCCTGTTCACTCTTCCAAGTCCAGGTCAAGTCCTGCCAAAACTACTTCCAGGGCTTTCTCCCTGCCCCGGGACTCCTTGGCCAGCCTGCTGGGGGTTCACATGGTGGTACAGTGATATGAATACTCACTAAAGTCTCATGTGTGACTGCTGTCTCCAGACTAGCACATGAACCTGCTCCAGACTAGA